TATGAGGACCAGAGACAGCAGCTGTCTGGCCACAAGTGCCTTAAAATTCTGCATTCAGCAAAACCATGTTCAATGGAAAATGGACCACAGAAAGTTCAAAATACCATTTCAGACCTCTTTTCAAATGCAGCAAATGCTGTTTTCATTCAGCTAATATTTGCAATATTCTGCCTCCTCCTTCATTCCAAAATTGTCCATGGTTAAATTAGCACAGATACAAAGGAACACACTGAAATAATACATTACAGTAAGCCATGGGATGCTTCACCCAAAATGCTTAGCCTCTATGATATTAATGATTTCAAACAGAGCTCCCACCCAGCTTCTAAGTTTTCCAGAAGGAAACATTATCAATCCACGTGCAAGTGGGTCATTCTGTTTTGAAACAAGCATGATTAAATCCAATCTTGTGTTTTACACCAGCATGCTGTTACGGTTTTCAGTTGCATGAATATAAACCAAGCATTTTAACATCAATTGCTTTAACTGAGATGCAATAGCCACACAAATGAAGAGCAACCTGACCAGACCATTAATTATTTTTTTTTTTTTCAGAAGAGCTCTCCCCACACTCTCCAGCTACAGTTATTACCATCTGCAGTCTAATGCCAAATCCTCGTAAGATGGCCGATGTTCTCGGCTGAGCACACTTCTCAACTCCTCTGCTCCAAAAGCAAAGATTTACCCCATTCAAGCTTTCCTTTGGCATGCCACTTGAATTCCAGCTCCCAGAATACACATTTATCTTACCATTACTTAGAAAAGAGGTATGACTCCCATTACAAGGAAGGTGGATCAGTAACTCTGTAACGGGTTTTGAATTTAGAATGACAGGTTCCAACATTTATTTTTTTTTTCCAGGCTAGTTCACTAGATTACACTTGGGAATGGTTTTATCCTCTCTACTTTCCAGGAAAAAAAAAAAAGCCCTAAACCTACACAGAATGAAATACAGTCCCAAGAATTGTCTTGAGGAATATTGCCCCAGCAGGGCTGCCTTTAAGATTCTGGGCTGCTGTTTAGTCAACACTGCTTTTAATAGTGTGGAAAAAAAGCCCCTGACTGTGTGCAGGTAAAGGAATTATGAACAGAAAGGTCTTGCACAGCATGAACAGCTGAAGCAATGAGCACTAAGGTCTCCTGGTGTGGAGGAGAGACCTACCGAAAACAGAAAATTTATTTACTTTTCTAGATGCCCAGAATCTGAACTTTCAGAAGATGGCTATTTGCCATAGGAAACAGGAATTTTCTGTTCTTCATACAGAAAATGGGATTAACTACAATAATATGGGATGTCAAGCAGCCATCAATGCTGGCTCTTTGGGCTCTTCTGAGCTCTAGGACTGCAGCCCATGAGCCCCACGGATCAAAACCTTTAAACAGTAACGCTCATTAGTGACCGGTGTTAGCCACCAAAGGCTTAGAAAGGCCTTTTTGTTGCAAATGTGCAACAGAGCTCTGTTGGCATGACTCACCCTGAGAACCTCTCTGCAGATGTACGCAATCCAGTCTTCCTTGAAACAGTTCCCTTTTGTCTTCTTTACCAGGTCAGTGACGGAGCCCGCACCACAGTACTCCATCACCAACTGCAGGAAGACAAACGCCATACACCTTTACCACAGCCCTGACAGGCGCCAGCAGAGACACCATGTGCAAACACCCGCTCCACCACAATCAAGGTGTGGCAAACTACACGCAACCTTCCCGGATACCAAGCAACATAAAATCTCATTTCCTGAATGACACACACCACTGAATAAATAAAAAACCTCAGTAGTCCGCCCCCTCCTACTGCAGGTTATGGGTATTTTTTTTCTTTTTTAAGAAAACTACAAAATCAGAAAACCAAGAGACAATAGCACTAAAAACTTAAAAAATGTTGCAGCCAGAAAAATTGGAGGGTTCATTTTTCTTCTTTGCTTTATTGCCAATTCCTCTGTTCCATTTTTTATTTTCCATCTGAAAAAAAGGAGATGAAAGCAACAAGAAAAAGGAGAGGAAGGGAAGAGGACAAGCCCTCTTTCACTTTTGTTAGGAAAAAAAAAATTACAGAAACATTTAATTTGGGGGGAAAAAAAAAGCTTGAACAACAAATCAGAATGACCGCACAAGTATCATAACATACTTTATGCCCATCCTCAAAGGAAATCACAGGGGATAGAAGACATCTAGGGAGGAGCAATTTTTCTCTTTTATATGTTATACTTCAGAAGAATGACTTCAGAGAGAGAGAGAGTCCAAGCCAAGCACACTGGAGCTCTAAAGAAAGGAGCTGTAAATCTGATGAACAGAAATGACACTAAACACTTACCCAGAGCTGATCATCTTGGCCTGCAGGACTTTTCTTTACAAATGCGCCATAATACGTAGCAATGTTCCGGTGATGGGAGTACTTTTTTAGCATATTTATCTCCAGCTTGATTTCCTCCTCTTCATTCTGTAGCAAAAGAGAGCAGAAGGCTCCTTAGGTGTCTGCAGATCACTGAGCTCCAGGGGTGCCCAGAGCTGCAGGGCAACCTCTGTCTTTGGAGGCTTTCAACACCCAGCTGGAACCAGCCCTGGGCAACCTGGTTTGATCCCATGGCTGACCCTGCTTTGAGCAGGAGGCTGGACCAGAGACCTCCTGAGGCTCCCTCCACCCCGAGCTATCCTGTGATTATCCCAAGACCGCAACCAACAACTGAATCACCCTGATCCATCAGCTTAAAACAACGAATTTCTAGGGGTTGACCTAAAGAATGAAGAGTGTCCCGGTTTGGGTCTAACAATCACATATTGACTCCTCAGGGGGCTTAGACATGACCTGTTACTGCCCCATTTGCGGTTCCTATATGCAGTAATATAGTCTTGGAGAAATTAACCAGATTCAAACAAAAATAAAAATATTCCTAACACTCCATTACTTAAATACTTGGAAAAGCACTTAGTGCACACATCAGCCAATTTGTCTTCCCAGTCCCGTGGAGGGTCTTGCTGGGAGGAAATCAAAGCCAAGAAGGAGGCAACTCGCCACAAATCAAACTCCAGAGCCAGCGCAGGGTTAGGACCTGCTCCTTCCGTACAGCTGTGAGGCTACGCTACCCGGACCACGGGGGTTTCTCCCCCTCCTAACGTCATGCCATCAGTTAGGGCTCTGGCGTGCTGGGGGCCAGCCCACCCCTAGACATCTCCTTCCCGGCACCAGCTAGCACTGTTTTCCCACCGTTCTCCTTTCAGTCTCTTCAGGGCAGACGTTCTGCCCAGTACGGCACCGTGCACAATATGACAACTAATGGAAAGACAAGCTTTAATAACTACATTAGAAGGAAATGCCCTTTTTCAGAGAGAACTGCCTGATCTGAAGAGGTCCTCTCAGAGCTAGCCTGTTTGCTATGTTGCCACCAAGAAAAACGATGCACAATACCTGGTGAAACGCAGGTAGGTTTTGCTGTCTCGTTTGCTTTAATAGGAAATGAGCGGTGCTGCAAGGTATCCTTGTAGGGGTTAAAAGGAATATGACAAAGTTGAAAATTAATTTGCCTTGCTCCAAAACATCCCAGTCAGCACTTACTAGCTGAAGGGGGGAAAAAAAAAAAAAAAAAAAAAGAAAAAGAGGCAGCAAGAACAGCTCAGCCCCACAGGACATTTTTCTGCACTTTTCCACTATTTTCCAATAGCTTTGCCATCGAAGCATTCCTTTAACCATCACAACAGACTGCTTACAAAACCAGCTGTGTTGTCCTTTCTACCTGTAGCAAAACATTAAAGCCCAACAGGCTGAAGCCAAATTCCCTCAAGCATATACATATGATGCGTCTTATTAAACCCACCCACACAAAAATCATTCCAAACAGAACAGAAGGGACCAATAAGTTTTCCCCAGTAACACCAATCTACAGGCAACACGTTACCAGACCAAAGCCTGATTGTCTTAAGCTTTAGGAAATGGGAAATGTAAAGTAACTCCACTTGAAGCAAAATGAGCTATTTCAGGTTTCACAACAGCCCCTTCCTTGAACACAGGCTCTCAAGCTGCACACGTTACACACTAGACATTTCATTTATCTTTTGTTTGCAAGTCGGGAGAAAGGAGGACCCTTAGCCCTCAGCTTGATTCAGCCCTGGATGTTGTAGGACTTCATTAGCGAGGGCGAGGAAGAGCCCGGTGCAGCACCTGGAGCCTCCAAGAGGAACCCGAGCTGACGCCCAGACAGCACATGGGAAATCCTCCCTGGGGAAGGTCCCGCTTCCCTCCGCGTGTGGCCAGGGCATGATCAAAGGGAGCTGAAAGCTCGTGCTGGTGCTTTTCGGGAGGGGCAACGAGGCTCTGCTGCCTTCGGGGCTCCGGATGGTGTGCGTGAAAGGGTAGAAACAGGCAGGTGAGGAGAAGGAGGCAGAGAACAAGGACAAGGGAACCGCCATCCTGTACCTGACCACAAGGGTCCTGTCAGTGATACAAGTTTCCGGTATCGGATCTTTAGGGAAGAAAGGCAGAAAGCAGGACAAACAGGGAGGACTCCCTTCCTCCCTGTGCTGTCCCTCCTGCATCATGCCCGCTCCTTCTGCTAGGGCAATCAAACATGTGGAGAGGCAACATTAACTTTTGGTAAAGGCCTTCCCCAAATCACTTAAGATCTCATCAAATCTTAAGGTTTTGGGGCTTTTAAACTCTGCCCATCTGCATGAACTTTGCACTGGTGGAGCCTGACGCTGGTGGAGCTTCCCCGCTATGGCCTCGGCACCAGCCTGCCGCCTTCACGAAGTTCCCCTCGGGGAGCTGGCAGGTCTCAAGCACTTCCTCAGAGCTGTTGCCTCTTTTTCAGCTCTTTTTCCTTTGCCCAATTAATTTGCTGGATGTTGGAACTGTGCTGGCACAGCTCTTATCTGAGTACTTTCTCTTCCTCTGCAATCTCACCTCCATGTTTTTAGAAGACAGATAAGCAAGTGCCTGTTTGTGAACACAGCTGGAACACCAGGTAGGCTCTTCCACACGCACGGCGAAGAGCAGCTGCACATGTGTAATGCTCCTTTCCCATTACCAGCAAGACGATCCAATTCCTGCTCTTCCTCATGTCCTTACCTATTTGCCCAGAAGGCTGGAACCCACTTCCTTCCTGTGCCCGTCTCTTCTGCCCTGGCCCATCCTTGCCCGTAGACGCAGTTACCAGTGCTCGCGTGCTGCTGTACGCTGCTCGGGCACGGGATGAAGCCTTGGGAAGACACTGCTCAGACCGGACAGCGGGCTTCCCACTGAGCCCCACCACGGCTGGGCAGAAACCCTCTGAGCCACACTCCTGCATCCTCCAAAGACAGAGACGTGACTTCAAATATCCGTCTGTCTGTAAGGCAAAGGGCTGTACTGGACAGGAGGTGGGCATTTCACAGAGAAGCAGCAGTCTGTCTTCCCAGTACTGGAGTGAGTTTTGGAAAAAGTACTCTATTTCACATGGAGAAACCAAGGCAGACGGGTAAATGTGAGCGATTCTATCCCACAGGCCAGTCTGAGGCCCAGGCAGGAACTGAATCCAGACTTGCCCAGTCCCAGTGCTACACGCATCCTTCAAGAAGGGTGACTGGGGACAAAAGCACCCTCAACATTTCAGCACATGCACATGCTCGGGGTTTCCACTTTCCACCACCCCTCTGTCAGTGTTACCATCAGCCACATCTCCCAGGGGTCTAGAAACCGGCTCACAAATCATGCTGCTCACCATGTGCAGGTGCAAAAAGCTGTTTGCTTTCACAAGCCGGTGTGTTTCTCGGCACAGATGGCTGCATGCACAAAGATGACAGGTTCATGATCAAAGGCTATTTTTGAAGATGTGGGCCTATCTGCAATGACATTAGGAAGCAAAGAACTAGAAAGCACACGCCTCCGACCTCAGGTGGAAACAAGACCATCAGCTGATAAATACTCCACCATGAGATCCCCCAGTACAGGGGCAGTTCTAATGACAAGTTTCTTGTTCAAAAGTTATTGTGCTATGTGAAAAGACTGAAAGCAAGGACAGACAGAGAACGACCTGCTCTTTGATCACCTGCACCAACAGCTGAAGACAAAAGCAGCGAGAATCCAACCTGTTTGCAAGCGCTCTGCTTGCTCGGCACCATCAGGCGCCAGGAAGCGGAGCCCGCGTGGAGAGGCCCAGCGAGCGCACGTTGCCAGCAGCTCCCCTTCAACCATTTCAAAGGGCTTTCGCCGTAACACGACACAGCGGCACTTCCCAACAGACGTCCAGAGGATCCCACTGTGACCACAACACCCTGTGGCTGCTCTTCAGCCCGCGGCCCGGGGCTGCAGCTCATGACAGCAAAGGGCAGATCTGCGCAGCTCTTGGTGCGCCCCAGGTCTTAGAGCTGAACAATCGCAGCTGGAGCCAGTCAGGGAATTTCCAACGAAACGACTTGTTGCCAAAAAAAAAAAAAAAAGTAAACTTGGTGAAAGAGAATCTTTTGGCAGAAATGTGCTGGTTATGCTGGACGTGAGCCAGCAACGTGCGCTCGCAGCCCAGAAGGCCAGCCGCCTCCTGGGCTGCACCCAAAGCAGCGTGGCCAGCGGGGCGAGGGAGGGGATCCTGCCCCTCTCCTCCGCTCTGGCGAGACCCCACCTGGAGCGCCGCGTCCGGCTCTGCAGCACAGATCACAAGGCCAGTCCGGGCATTCAGCTCTCCTCCACTTTTTTTTGGAGACAGGTGAAGGGAGAAAGACTGCAATTGTTCGATTTCATTTTTTTTTAATCTTCCTGTTTTCTACCCCATGAAATTTTCACTCCCTAAGACAACTGTTCCCCGTGCAGCACTAATCAGATCATACAACCAGCCAAAGATGAGAACGGCCACGGGGGCTAGGAGCCTCCTGCCTGTCTCAGGCAGGTTTACTATGACAGCTTCCATTTCTCACAAGCCAAAACCCACATGAGATGTTGGTCTCAGGTGCAATTTATAGGCAAGACATCAGAGACGAGGATTTCAATATTTTAAAGACTTTATTTCATGCCTCAAGCTAGCTTTTCAAGACCAAAGGATCAGAAAATAACTTAAACCTGAGCAGACTAACAAAGCAAGAGAACTACTGAATCCTTGACAGGCTCCGAATTGATGACACTGAAATTCTGGAGATTGAGAGGATTTCCGTGTTACAGTTAGGACCCAGTACTGCTGTGGGAGGCTTCAGTAACCAAATGCTATGAAGCAAAGAAAAGCTATTGCTATTTTGCAGGAGAACTGAGCTTCAGAGATGCCCTAGACACGTACAGCGTCAGCCTCAGCTGCACCCAAGCTCCCACCCACTGCAGCTGCAGGGCAGGAATGCCTCGGCTCCACCCTCCATCTGCTCGGTGCCACGAGAGACCAGCAGCACAGTCCCTGGCCAGACGGATTGGCCCAGGAGGCCAGCAGTAAACCCGTTTCTTGCAGCCACGTGCCTCACCCCGAGCGCTCTGTGAGTTTGTGCTGAGGTGTCTGAAGCGTTCGGGACCGCAGCCGCCAGACCCACCCTGCCGCTGCGCACAGCCGTCCACGGCCCACTGCGCCGAAAGCCACCGGGGTTTACCGTAACGCACCGAGCTGCGAGATGCGGTGGCTGAGGAGAAGACAAGCCCAGGGCAGAGCAGACAGCTGGAGGAGGAACCAGCAGCAACCACCTGAATCACTCCCGTACTGGTCCCCCGACACCTCACGGCAGCGGTGGCACTGCGGCAGCGGCAGCACCGCCGCGGGCCTGGAGGAAACCAGTGATAAAGCGGAGGACTGCTGGTTGGTCTGTGCCCCAGCACCAGGGACACAGCCAGCCCCGCGTTAAGAAAGCAGAAACAACAACAGAAAGCCTTGCAGTCGCCCTGCACCAAGGTCAGAAAGCAGAAACGCTCAAGTAGGGCTGACCTTGTTCAGGGTTTAGTGGGGGACGAGCCCCAGGGAAACCCCCTCCAAGCTGGTTGCACCAACACGCTCATCGCCCAACTCTCAAACCGTCGCAACTGCTTTCGCATTAAGTGACTCAACATGAAAACAGCATGATCTGTTACCATCGCCCTTCAAGCAATGGGACAGGTTCCCCAGTATGATGCTGGCTCCCCAGCCTGCAAGGAAGCAGCAAATCAGACCTAAACCAGATGGTTTTTGTTCCCAGAATCATGCAAGTTAGCAACGTGAATTCCTGAAGCTGGACCACAAGGTTGTCCTCCATTTGAATTTTTTTTCCAAGCAAGCAGGCATTACTGGGTGCTACAGTTTGTTGCCTACATACAAAGGAGACTGTGTTATGTATAGCAAAGGGAAGGAAATCTTTCCAAGGTTCCCTTCCTGCAGTTTTTACTTCAATTGTTTCATCCAGGAAGGGACTGTCACTGGTGTTAACATGACGGCCCACAAGTGACATCTTTGGCCAGCTCTCACGCACTGTTGACCAACCCAGCAAAGCATGGAAGCTCTGGATCCACTCTGAGTCCCAGCCAGGATCTGTCCTGTGAGCTCTTCTGTCAAAGCATGGAGGTGCTCTGATCTCAGGAATCTGTCTGCGACCCAAACCCTACCCCCTCTCCCTCCCAAAATCCAGCAGCCTCGTGTTTGCTGACTACTGTTTTTTAAAGCCAAAGCACCTGATGATATATATGTCCCTATAAAGCTAAGAGAAAAAGTCTCATCAGTGTAATGTAGCACTCACTTAAAAAAACTCACCCTCCTCTGTGCCGAAAGAGGAGCAAAACTGGCAATTCTACTATGCACGTGTGTTTTACAAGGCAGCAGCCATAGCCAAACCAGCCCTTCAATGTGCTTTGTAAAAGCATTACAGTAGCATCTAAGTTCAAAAAACCAATGTGAAATTCAGACCATTGGCTGCTCAGGGCTAGATTCCTGCATCAGCAGCAGACAGAACTGTTCTGGACCGGCTCTACGTGACAAGGCCCACACAGACACCAACTTGTTCTGCTGTCTTCCAAGACAATAAAAAGACATACGAAAATGTAGGCAAGGCTTGCTTGTGCTTGCCCAAAACACCACGTGTAGACGTGCCACTGGCAGATTTGGCCCAGAGGACTTGGCCCTGATTTTTATTTCAGGCAATAACCCTTCCACAATATCCCAAGAGGACTCTAACTTTTCCTTGGAGTTTTGTCCTCCGTACCTACACTGCCCGAGTCGCAGAATGGGGAGCTGGTCTTCAGTGAGACCAGGTGCCTCCTACCAAAGCACGAACTCCCAGTGAACTCCAGAAGAGGAGGCAGGGAGTCCCCCCAACCCTTCTGGGGCTCAAGGGGACGAGCTGCTTCGCTTGGCTGCGCTCCTAAAAGGAGGAACAAGCACCAACACTTAGCAGTGCTCCTGATGCCCCGTCCCAGCACCGACACCACTTGATAAATGCGAGCAGGGACGGTGCCAATTAAAATGTCTCCTTCTCTCATCTGTCAAATAACAATAAAAAAATGCCACATTTGCGCTTCTGACGTGCCCCTGCTTGCCAGCTGTCAGGGCAGCTACTCTGAGGAATGGCTGGCACGCGAGGGGAGAGGACGAGATGAGACACAGCAGGGGCAGCACACAGCTACAGGAAGTCTTCTACTTGCTATCTCTGGAAACAGATAATCAACTAGAAATAAGCAGGAAGAGGGTTCTCCTCTGTGTCGTTAGGCCAGCAACACACACAGCAGCGCATTCCCTTACTGCTTTGTCACCGCTGGTCAGGTACAATTGAAAAATCTGGCTGAGTAACACCTCGCAGTACTTTATAAAACACAAACCACTGCTCAGCAACCATAATTTATACCACTGGATCATCTCGCATAAGCTATCCACATTCTCGTAACGCGATTATTTTTCCTTGCACCGTGATAACACCTTTTTTATTTTTGGCTTTGTACTCACCTCAGTAACATTCATCACTTTGATCGCTGCCAGCTGCCCGGTCTTAACATGGCGACCCTGTTCAAATAACAAAATACCGTAAGTAAAGCATGTGTGCAAACTGCATGTACGCTACCAAATCGGCATATAACAACTGGGCTTGAGTACTTGCTTTCAATCACCTATCAGTAACTTTGCAGGGATACAAAACTACCAAGGTGAAGTTTGGTGACGTGTCATCAGACCCGTACCCTTTCCATGCTCAAGTTGCCTTTGCAGGGTTGAATTTCCCCCTTTAGCACAAAGCAAGCAGCAATGCTGGGAGACCGCTGCTGGCGTGAGCCTCTGGGTCTCCGTCCCACTCCTGGCGCAGGAGTTGCCACCCCTCGAGCCTCCTCTTCCAGGCAGCCTCGGCGCAGACCCGGGGTGACCCAACCAGAAGAACCTTCTTGTCCTGCAGCCCAGGGCTGACGCACGCTGGGGAAACAAGGTGCTGGGCAGCTGGCACTGTCCCCACCTCCCCACCCCACGTGTGCTGGTGCACTTGGGGTAAGGGGAAAACTCTGGGTTTCACTACGTCAGTCTGGCAACCTGTACGCAGCTGCCAAGAAACTAAAGCTGTATGTACTGTCTTCCCTTTTTTTTTTTCTTTCTTTTTTATTTAAAAAAAAAAAAATAATAAATAAATAAACAAAAAAGAAAAACATTTACTATGAAATGTTTAGTTTTTAAAATTCTTACTGCAGCTGAGTTAACTGTATCTCAGCTACCTCCCAAAAAGCATGCAGAGGCTTCGTATTTAAAAATGTCATCTTCCATGGTGGTGCAGAGGAACTCTCCCAGGGCTTTTGTGCCTACGTACATACGCACACTTCACTACTGAAATGCCCACATCCCACGATCGTTATTAAGGAACAGATAACTGGTAATTTGAGACTAGGTAAGCAGCTCGTTTTTGAAAACAAAGCAAGGAAAAGGGAGGTAATAGGGAACAAAGCTATTAAAAGAGTAAACTTAATAATGAGACTGACAAAATGTGGTTCACGAGGATGTATATTAGAAACGCAGCCAGGAATCTTGCTATAAATTGCACAGTTCCTTGGCTTGGCTAGATCAAGGTGCTCAACAGACGCTGTAGATGCAGTCTTTTGCCATGATAACCAACACTAACCTCATACTGGAGGACAGTATCAAAAGATTTGTATGAACAATGGATTGGCTACACATCCTAACTTCTCACTTCCATCAAGTGTTCTGAAATGGGTTTGAAGCTTTGAGACTGCAATTTTCTTCCTGAAATAGTAGTGCCTGCAAAGCTGTATATCGAAATAACTAACTGACATCAGTTAAGCAAGCCACAGGAAATCAGGAAATCAAATACAAAATGTTGCAGTTTACAGACAAAATGATTTGCAGGTGCAATTTACACCTGCAAAATTAAATGCTGGGTTGATGTCATTTTAAAACCTAGGTCGTATCTGCACAAAATTGCATGCGTGTGTTATTTCTAAGACTAAGCAATTTTGCATCAAAGAAAAATGATTCCTCCTTCTCAGGCGATATATCACAGTCATGTTTTCTTTTACAGAAAACTAAATCCTGCTGAGTTTTTGTGTATTTGTAAGTGTCGTCTTTCCGTGGAAGCACCCCTGGGATTGCAAAGCTTTTTCTCATAAACCAGAATGATAGGATTTATATATTATCACAGACCTCAGGAGGAAGAAAATGGGGACACACCCTCCCTGGGCCCATGACACACACACCACCACGGCCAAGTGCAGATGGGCCGTGACGAGTGCTAGCCTGACAGATGCCGGTGTTTGGTCAGCATCCGTCCCAGCTGACGTCAAACACAGTTAGCGAGCTTCCTCTGCGCAGCCACGGCTCCTTTGTTGGAGGTCATTGTTTGCAAGTGTTTCCAGGCATTGAATGTCTTGGCAATATAGCGAGAGGGCCTTCCACAAAACACAGGCATGCTAGACACGCTGGCACCCTGACTTAACTCCAGAGTTTGTCTGGAGTCAAGTATGCTGGTAATTCCACGTCTCCAGTCACCACACATAGCAGGTGACCAACCCATCCCAAGGATGAGCCTCCCCTGGGCTGCTGTACATTCTGCAAGGGATGATGTCAAGAATCAACACTGATTTTCATAACTAGTAAAGCATGGAGATGTGCTGCTTTACTGAAAAAATACATCAATCAATACTAGGCTAGCATTGCATGTGATATCGAATACTCATCAGAATAAGGAAGGGGGAAAGGCTTGGCATTCAGTTTTGATTTCAAAGCATGATATCTGGTCCAATCGTCCCTCTAACAGACGTGTTGTTTTGCAGCCACAGTTATTTCTACTGCTTGTAAACCTGCTGCTCTCGCTTCGCTTTTACCACTATAAATGAGAATACTAAATCCCCCCAAAAAGGTTTGGAAAATTAGCATTTATCAGAAAAAAAAACTCCAGCAAGCCCTTTTGTTTTGTGGGTCGTGATTCACCTTTGCACCACAAACGTGTCCCCGTTAACAGAGATGCACAACTCAATCCTGCTCCCACGTTCCTAACAGCTCCCACGTCCACAACCGGGCTGGCTGCCGGATGACAGGAGCTCAGTCTGTGCTGAGAGGATCATGCCCTGTGCCTCGTCTCAATGCCCCGTCTTCCTCACGCCGTGCAAAGTTACTACTAGTCTGAAGGAAATGCATCGGGTCGCATCCAACCATCCCTCTGCACAGGGTCACCTGCAATAAGTGCTCTGTGACTGGGTAAAGCAGCCTTTGCATGGGAGTAAATTCTGTTAACTACGTGCTTTTCACAGCCTTATGTTCTCTTAGACCACTTTATCCTGGAACAAAATAGAGCATGGTTCAATCCGCCAGAAAATCCGAACCCTTCTCGGCAGGCCGAAAGAAGGAGCAGTAAAAACTCATTCCTGTTGGTTTACTCTAATTCTCAACTCACAACAACTTACTTTCAACAACTGTTATCACACCTTTTGAAAAGGGTCTTCCACGTTTCTTGGTTGCATTAAAGCTGAAGAGCTTCATCTTCCCCCACCAGCACAAGTTTGTGCAGGGTAATGCAGAGGGCTGCAGGTTAACCTCATGAAAAGGTGCAAATATATCTACGTACTACATCTGCCTCCCATCAATTATCTAAAAGGGATGAATTAGTTTAAAAGTGTGTATAAAAAAAAAAAGTATCTTGGAGATTGTAGCTAAATGTGTATCTACAGCTATAAATCTATATAAAAACATTTTCAGCATGAGATACTAATTTTACTGCCATCTTGGCAGATTTATTTCTGATTACAGTTGTACATTTTCCCAAAGTAAAGGGTTCATCATTATTGTAGAGCAACACATCTCAAAAGTCTCTGCACCTGCTAATGTATGCAACAAACAACGCGGCAGAATTACACGGCATGCACCATCATTTCTCCTTACCTCTGACATCACCCCAACATACACAAATAAGACCTTTCCTTGAAATATTGCCAAAGGAAAAGGTTCAATCAGTGGAGACAAAACAACCAGAGAACCCCAGAGACATCCTAAATTTTATTCCTTCTCCTCTCCAGAACTTCACTGCCTATCCAGTTCGGAAAAAAAGGGGCTGAAGCAAAGCCACCCAGCAGCTCACCCAAACACCAGCAGTCCCTGTAAGCCGTCGTTGCACCCTGGCACCCCACCGAACTCAGCACCGCCACCCAAAAAAGCGAGCATGCTGTTGCAAGACTGCACGCTAAGAGGGCTGAGGCTTTCAGAGGACACGAGTGGAGAAGAACCACTGATGCCTGAGCAGCTTATCTGAGCGGAGAGACTCGCTCCACGTTACGCTTGCTTTAATGCACAGGCGATGACTGTCAGAAAAAAAAATCACAGTTTTCTCTCCTTTACGTTGTTTTTTTCCAAACTGTTTCGAGTTTTCGAGCAGTAAACATCCTGAACTCGGCCCTGGGCTTCTTGTTAATGCACTGAGACTAGTGCCTAAGTAAGGAAAGGTTTAAGGGCCTGGCCCCTTATTTTTTCGTTTATCAATAAATCTCAGAGGTTAGCCAGAGTTCATGGGAACTCACACATTGCAACTTCTGCTGAAGCCACAAGGTTGAGCAAGTTTGAATTGTTTTGAGAAAGGTGGTGTTTTGATTTTTGTTTAAAGCTCCTAGGAGCAACTGGCTGTTTTAACCGTTTCCAAACCAAACCAGATCAACAGATTCACTTACTTCCAGAGATGAGACATGCAGAAGTGTGTCCTTTTTGATTTAATCCAAAACGGGAGGGAGAACAAGGGGCTTTGCCCTCCCAGCCTTCTGTGCAATTCGCCGCTGCCCATTCGGATCATTAAAGGGAATCAGCCTGTTGCGATTCAGGGTCCCCGTTGCACGTTTCCTCAGACACCGGGCAGAGGGCAGGAATGGTCTGTGGACGTTTCCCTAGTAAAAGGTTTCACCTTTCACCCAAATGCTCAGTTTGAGAGCAGGTTTCAACTCTGGAGAATGAAGCCAAAACATCCAACAGCCATCTGCAAGTCACTCATATCCCTACCCAAGAATACAGCACTAAATGCTATCAAGCTCATACAGAGCTTCAACACGAACAATTCTGAAGCTCAACGACTTTCTAAAATTGAAGTTCCTGCCTACATTTTGATGAGCTATCCACGCTGGAAGAAATTCTCCCATTAGCTTTGAGTCCAGCTAAATTCTGTGTCTCCTCCAGAAAATATTTCCGCATAAAGTCTGCTGCAGTTGCCAGTTAGTCACTACAGTAACATTGAGCAAACCTGGAGCCAGCGTACACATTTTTCAAATCTGCATATTGCTCGCTGCAGCCACATTTGTGGAGGATGTGCTTTATGCCAGAGATCTGGTTCTGATGAGCTCCAACCATGCCTTCTCTCTGCAGGGAGACAGACATGGAATAGAACAGATCGCTCGGTGTTATTTCTATTGAATGTGTATTTACCTTTTTAGCTCGATTAGATAAAGGAACTGCTTATCTATGCCCTCTACTGAGGGTCAAGACACATATTTGTCTATTTACATCAAACAAGAGTATCAGCCTTAGCGGTACTCAAGAGTACAGCCTTATCAGGTGACAAAGCGGCTTTACATGAATTAAGTGTATTTACAAAACGATGCATTCAGGCAGGTACAACACCTTTTCCTGTTAGATACAAACAAAAATTTTGGGCGGTCCCTGGCTTGGGCCACGGCGACAACCAGAGATCCAAGGCCCCAGCGACACACACCCGAGACCG